TAACTGAATCCAGAAGACTTCAAGCTTTTTCGCCAGCTGGATGCCAGATTATACTTGTTCGAAAGCAATTCGTTGTACGATAATTACAGTCATATTTCTGCTCCGGGACGCATATCGTAACAATTTCCTCGTTTCTTCTCTCATCGCAAGTGTGCTTTGCCTCGATCACAGTTTCCTCGTCCCATTTATTGATACACATGTCAATTATCGTCATTTGCGTGAGCCAGCAGTAGCGCATTGTATGTCGTCGTCTTCGCACCAGATGGTTATTGGATGCTGTTATCATCTCACTTTACTCGATATAGGGTCACTTAGAAAATGAGCAAATCCATGCCATATGCCACCCATCGAGGACATAAGAATTACCGTCTGGAGGATTTTTCCTCTCTTGGCCAGAATATGATGATTTCCGTAAAATTAGTCTCTAATAGTCATCACCTCTTCTACAATGACATTGCGTGCCGTTATGTTTATGGCGTTCGACACGAATATATCCGTACTATATCGGGCTGTAAACTATATCTCGCATCTCGTCGCATCATTCCTATAACAAAATGTAGGGTAACACTAGATTGCGGTTATCTTACCTTGGGCTAATGAGTTTTGGTATCTTCAACGTTGTGTCTCATTTTTTGGTCAAACTTTTTGGTTGGAATTGCTTCGAGGGGTATTCTTTGAAGATCATGTATACATCTAAATTAATTTTACAACAAATGCCATATAATCGCATCTCCTACAAGTGACATAGGTCGAGCTCGCCTTTTGCTTTGATCTTCCCCTGAAGTCCCATTTTTTAGGCGTTTTACTCAGCTCTAAAGAAGGTAACCCATCACTAACCTCCACCCAAAGAATCTAAGCAACTCTCGCGCGAACACACATTTTCGAATGTTTGTATAAAGTCTTTGTTCACACATACGGCGGACCACCCAGTATTGCCATCCATGTCCACAGAAAAACGTCGCCGCTTATGTTCACGCTAGCGTTGACCTCGTCATCGCCAAACCATCACCTTGTCGTTTGCTGTTTTTACTCTCTCTTTACTCTCCTCACATCTTACGTCTTTGAGGAGAAAAAACTCCTTTCGCACATCTCAACAAGAGATCTCAGCATGTGATAGTAATGCGACAGTCTCTCGGCAAAGGCAGATTCACTCGTTCGTTTGTCCATGTGGTGCTGCGGTGACGGTCAGTTCGGAGGAGTTACTCGCCTCCTCTCAATTAGTCATATCATAAATGAGGCCTTTGACTAATTTGATGATTTGATAATGGAGTGAAGGTATGGTCGGTAGGAAAAGAGCCAACTTCACCTAGACGAAATAATTCGCAATGCTCGCACATTTCGTTCTCTGCGATGTTCTCCTTCCAACCACATCGCCACCCGCTGCAATCACAATAAACTGCAAAAGCCTTAGCCTTTGATTGCTATTGTCACGCAAATTGACCACCCGGACATTTTGCTCATCCTGATTAACCAGCCCGATGTTTACTTGTGTCCTACAATAGCCTCCGTCACCCCTCCGATCGACCGCACATGGCAAGTGTCGAGATCAGCGGCAGATGGTAGCATAATCCGTCGTCTCCTCCGTCTCGCCCCTTCTTTCCATTAGCACTTTGCCCGTTCTCGTATGGT